TTGAAACAGTCTCGCTCCGTCACTTCGGCTGGAGTGCAGTAGCGTGATCTCAGCTCACTGCAACCTCTGCCTCCCAGGTTTAAGCGATTCTCCTGCCTCAGCCTCCCAAGTACCTACAATTACAGGTACTAGCTACCATGCTGGGCTAACATTTGTATTTTTAGTAGAAAACTAGCATGTTTGCCAGTCTAGTCTCAAACTCCTGGCCTCAGGTGATCTGCCTGTCTTGGCCTCCAAAGTGCTGGGATTAGAGGCCTGAGCCACCACGTCCAGCCTCTTTTAATCTTGACACAGTCACTCTGCCTTCTTGTTTTGTCATGATGTTGACTTTTTTCGAAGTCTTATAGGATGTTCCCCATTCTCTGTATGTCTGATTGTTCCTGATGATTAGACTCAAACTTGGGTTCTCTTGGCACACATAGGTGATATGTGTGCTTACTTGCTTACTGGAGTGTGTCAGGAGGTGCATGATAACAGGTTTTCCTGCTATGGTGATGCTAAGTTTGATAGCGGCCATGTCGATGTCTGTCGTGAAATTACAGTTTTCCTTTTGTAAAACACAAGTCATTCGTGGAGTGATACCATAAGTAGCTGTTCCCCCAGTAATTATAATGGGTATCTGATTTAATTATTGCACTAATCATTTTCTAATTTTGTCATTCATTCTACACCTGTATCTGGCATTCTTCTCTAAGAAAGAGCTTTCCTTTTATATTCCTTGTTCTTTCAGGCCTTATTTTGACTTTTATTTATTTATGTACTTTTTGAGACAAGGTCTTACTCTCCCCCAGGCTGGAGTACAGTGGCACAATCTCGACTCACCTGAGCCTCGACCTCCCAGGCTAAAATGATTCCCCCGCCTCAGCCTCCTGAGTAGCTGGGACTACAGATACACGCCACTACACCCAGCTAACTTTTTTTTTTTTTTTTTTTCGTTTTTTTAGTAGAGATGGGGTTTCACCATGTTGGCCAGGCTGATCTCGAACTCCTGGCCTCAAGCGATCCCCCTGCCTCAGCCTCCCAGAGTGCTGGAATTACAGATGTGAGCCACCATACCCAGCCCTCAGGCCTTTTTTTAAATGCCCACTATTTCTCAGACTTCTTATGCTTTCATCTTTCTACTTGGGAGGTATTTTTGTAAAATGATTTCATTTTTCCCCCTGAGTACACTATCACCATCATACAGTCATGTGCTGCATAACATTTTGGTCAAAGAACTTTTATACACATGACAGCACACTAGGTTTTTTCATATCAGCATCACCACAAACATGCAAATAGTGCATTGCACTATGACAGCACCATGGCCATGATATCATTAGGTGATAGGATTTTTCAGTTCCATTATAATCTTATGGGAACACAGTCATATCCATCATGGTTCATTGTATTGTTGGCCTGCTCCCAGCCAGGATAATTTATTATTGAAGAAAGAGGCTGGGCATGGCACTCATGCCTATAATCCTAGCACTTTGGGAGTCCAAGGCAAGAGGGTCCTTTTTTTTTTTTTTTTTTTTTTTTTTT